AAACGTCGGACCTTGTTTTCACTTGATTTGTTATATAAGGTTCTTTGCCTTTCACACAGGTTAAACAGAGGGAACAATAAAACTACACAAGATCCAGCCCGCAGTTTAGTTTTGTCATCATGACTAAAGACGGCATTGTGTATGCAGTATGCATTCCTGTAATATATGTGTCAAAGATTTGTTAAAAGGGAAATCAGGGGCAAGGATTAGATAGATTAGATAACAGAAGGTGTGGGAGTGAGAAACGGAACAACCCTTTGATTTGTGGGAAGTTGGGGTCTAAATTTTTTTTATGCATTAAAGATATTTAAAATAAACCCTTTTAAAGGCGTACATATGTCCTTTAACCCAGTAGTCCTTTAACAAATAGAATTTCTGGTATTTTAAATGCCGGGTCACACCAGAAATTCTCACCAAATGAATTTGTGTGTCTTGGTGAAATAGTGAAACAGTTGGCTTAGAAGGTAGGTGTTAAAGTGAATACTCACAGGGGCTAGTTGGTGTGCTACTGTAGCTGGCGAGCTAACAGTAACAGTTTGCCAGTGGTAGTCAGTCCCCCCCCCAGTTTTAAGACTATCACACACAAAGTCTGTTTTTTGGTTTTGCGTTTCTTCGCACCAGTCATACCGACCTGATGTGCAAAGGCCTTTAGTGTAAGCTGGCTGGCTCGGTAGTAAAAGTTGAAGGTGACACAGATTTGGACGGATTTACTGTTTAGCTCGGAGCTGCCGAACGTTGTTTTGTTACTTTGAAAATAACGCTAGTTGCCTCCGAGCACTGGGCAGCACTGTGTATGCAGGTAACAAGTAAGCGAGCGGCAAACAGCAAAACACCTAAATAAATAATAGGAGTGGACCGTCTGCTTCTTATGGATGTGTCAAACCAAAAATCTTCCAATTATGTGCCAATAACCGGGGAAAAGATTGCAGTGAACAGTGGTAAGCAGGTGTATGCGTTACGTTACCATCACAAGCGGACCATAAAGCAACACCAGTGCCTTGATGTGCCACAGTAAGCCTGCTCCTTTTATCTTGGTAAACACAGACATGCTGCGTCGCCGGGATTGAACTATAAAATGTGTTTATTAATTTTCGCTATATTGCTGATGTTCACAAACAGCATTTGTTGATGCTATTTTAAAGGCATATTAAAGTTTATGCAAATGCAAGCTTGTTTAGTTTTATTCCACTTTATATGAGATAATCTTGTTCATTCTCCACCGGGGATTTGTCGATCTTGATATTCAAGTACCCATTCTTCCTCACACTTGTGTGACGTTTATAACGGCCCTTAAGATAACAAGGGAACATAAAAGTAAATAAAACAAAGACCTACGTCTCCCATTTGCATTTGCTGGGTTTTATTTATCAGGTTTGGATCTCATGTTATTGCTTATAACATCTTGCCCAACTATAAAGAAATATATTAGTTCTAATCATTTTAAATGGGACGTCTGGGTTTAGAGAAATGAAAGCACCATATCAGCTGAAGCCCTTCTGGTTAATATGCAGGAAGGTATTTTACCATGTAGAACAAAAAAGATGGGGAAAAAAACTTTGAGCTCTGTGGAAAGCACACAGTAGCACCGACACATCTTGTGGATGTCCCTTTGCCTGCACTGGGGAATACAGGCTAGTATCAAATCTCGCCTTGGGCTATAACCTTTGTTCTCTGATATCAAACCCATACAATAGTGCTGTATGGGATCAAAATCTGAGAGTAACATTGATATTCAGCCAAAATAGAAGCAGTGGCCTTTGAAATAATGTTTCCCATGCAAGACCATCCTGTTTTATTCCAAATGCACTATATTAGGACACACTATATCACAGAGGAAAACAGTGGGGAATTCAATCGATGTTCACTTTGAAATCCAACCCAGTAAAATTTCTACTTTGCCTCAATTCACCAGGCATGATGGTGATCTGGCATGCGCGTGTGTGTGTGTGTGTGTGTACATGTGCGTGGTGTAAGTGTGGATCGTGTATGTAGAGCATGCTGTGTGTTGCAGTAAATCATAGCAGATTCCTCCCAGGGGGACATGAGGATGAACCGGGGGGAGAGTGAAGTAGGATTGGGGGGCGTGGGGGTGGTGGTGCTAGCTGAGAAGCTGACAGAAACATTATTCAAATGATGCTCCTCTAGTTTTTTTTTTTTTTTTTTTTTTCAGCTGCACACTAAAACCTGACATTTAGTCAGAGCGAGGCGCTGAGACAATTCATGAGGATTTTCCACCTTCCTCGTCTTTGGCTCTTTAGCATTGAATGTCCCCGAGTCCTCCGGCGAAATTACATGCACCTCGGCCCTCCTCGACTCAGGGGGCCCCGGTGTTTATGAATCAAATATTTGATTTGGAAGGACTCCCATCCTCGCCGTTGCCAACTGCTGTCCGAAGAATAGAAAGGTCACGGTGAATCCGGCTTATCGGTGTGACTGCGCGGCCTGTCCGCTCGCAGCCTGCTGGGCCCCGGCGCTGCTGGTGGCGGCAGAACGGCAGAGAAAGAGGAGGGAGAGGGGAGACGGGAGAAGGGATGAAGGGGGGAAATATGGATGTGGAGAGGAGCGAGAGTAAGACACGGAGGGATGGGAGGGGGGTGGGGGGGTGGATGCTAGTGTGTGGGTGAAGGGGGGGGGAGCATTCTGCAAAGCTGTCGCCTGGACATATTGTGCTTTGATGGGTTGGTTTTCATTTTTATTGCCGTTTTTCTTTGCTGTGGAGGAGCAGTATTAAAGTCTTCAATCTTTAGCTGATATTAAAGGACTTGCGGCAGATTGTGATAAACAGCACTGCGCCTTCCTGGGCACTTCCTCTCTGAACATCTGTTGGAACATCACACGGTGACAAAAGCAATGTAATTATAATGTACCACGTAAACCTGCATACCACACAGGACCTCTTGGGCTTTTTTAAAGTGGGTGTCACTTTGGCAGACGTGCCGTACTGAGGGAGTGTGTGTGTGTGTGTGTGTGTGTGTGTGTGTGTGTGTGTGTGTAGGGGAGCGTGGGTGGGTGGGAGGATGCATATAACAGTGTGTCTGTGTTTTTAGGAGCTTACAAAATCTCAAGTGACTGCAGTTCTGGTTTTACATGGTGCGCCATTGAATTACAGCATTGTCCTCCACATTCAAGAGGACTGAATCATGTTCGCACACATGCAAGGGGACGTTACGCAACGGGACATTACTGGTGTTTCAACACCTGTGTTCCGTGTTGCTCTACATACCACAGCGTCAGGTAGGAAACTTTATAAAAGTGTAATTTTACCTCACAAGGTTTTATAACGCTTAGATGATAACCATCACATTCTACAGTCACCTGCAGTAATGAGCTGCTTCTGTGGCTCAGTTTCATTATCTTTCTGAACATTAATACAAAGCACAATCACCATTTTACCAGACTGCCCTGTTGGAAATTGAGGCTGATAACTTCCACATTGGACCTAATTTAAAACTTCCACAAGGTAAATTTTTTATCTGAATTCACACATGTGATCAGCCTAAATCAGAAAGTGGCTCTGCAATGGAGAAGAACACCTCAGCCTCCTTAAGTGAAACTTTGTACATTTGTTCTGTAAGGCCAAACGAGAGTCTGGTGTCACTTGTTGAATGTTGTTGAGAGTTGTAAGTCAGTGACTGAGATACAAACTGAAAATACAACAACAGATCTGTTGGAATAGAGAAGTGCTCACAGACTCCTAAACTTGACTTTAAAGCCCCCCCCTCCACTCAAAAATGTGTTCAGCTGATTGTTGCTTCATTTGGATGTTTGAGCTTCAATGTGCAGAATGATTTATGTGCAGTTTGACACCTAAAGGCTGTTTGCACATCCTCTGCTGCTGTTTGTCTACGCTCACCTCAAACCTTCAAAGTTCAACACGTACGTACCTGCGTGATTCTGTGACGTCACAACTTCATTGGCAGTGAGTAGGAGACATTTTGTTCAGTTGTTTTGAACAATGTTTGCACACTCAGATTCTGGATTTCTTTTTTTTCCTTTTTGTTTTTTGGAGAAGGAGAACTTGTGACTTTGTTTAAACCATATCAGACTTTTTTTAATTTAACCAGTGTATTTCTGTATGTCATAAACGATTCTGTCATTTTTTTAATCATGGTCGCTATACACATTACATTTTAGTTTACTTTAACCACTTAAGTTTACCTCAGTAATTATCATTTCATCATCACCTACACTACTTTGACAAATATTTTAGTTTTTTTTTCTTTAGGTTTCTAACTCATGTGTCCCTGCCTCAAAGTATTTTTTAGCTCCTATCTGTCAATGTTTTACGGGGGACAGATGTGAGTGCACCAGTAGAATTGAGAGCCTGATGTGAACCCCGACAGACAGAAGTTGGGTGTTTTACTGTCTTGCCGTATTGGTGTTGATTAAAGAAGATTTATTTAAACAGAAACTCTTGCCTGCTTAGTACCCATAGCCGAGAGTGACTGGAGAACTCTACCCCATCAAGAAAGCGTGTCGGGCTCATTTTCTGGGTAAGTCATTTTGGTGCTGCCATTGTGCAAAACAGTAGATTCCTCACTGACATATTAAGGAGTGAATACCACATAAAGCAGAGATTAGAGTGACTGCGAAACAAAGTTCAGGTAAAAATGATTGGATTTTTTTTTCTGACAACTGCTTCCAGCTAACCAGTCCCATATGAAGCAATGTAAAATTTCCATGGCCCCCGCACACCTACGTACAGTATCTTACTACAACACTCTGACGACACTGTACACTGTAGTACTTGATGTACAGTTGCATTTCCCATGACACATCCATGCTGCAGATACCTGAGACAAAACACAATGGCTCTTGGCTAATGTTACACAACCCAGTGCCCTTATGGCCTGAGTCAGCCCACATGGTGCAATAGTGGAGAACATGCCATGCATCACTTCAGGAACAGGAAGAGGGCGTGGACCCACATTTACAGTCCCAGGTAGATGATAAGTCTGAGTCCCCTCCTAAGGCCACAAATCCTTCAGAGAGCTGCCTGAGTTCAAAGGTCAACATGTAAATGCACGAAGTAATCTGCAGACAAACAGCCCAGCCCTCAGTACAGTCATCAAGGTAAATATTGCTGCGCTTATTTGTCTCGCCAAGCGTCTTGCGGCCTGCTTTGTTTGAATGTACATTTCATAAATGCTGATGACCTGCCAGTCGATGACTATTACACCAGCATTTACTGCTGCACAACATGTCTGGACCTATTGTTTGCAATGGGTACACCCATGATTAATTCAGTCGCACATCCAGCTACTTGGAAACACCGCGCGGAGGAGGATTACAGTCAAGGTTGTCGGCCCGGTGGCTGGAGGCCAAGAGTGGGAGACAGATAGAGAAATGCAGAGGAAAGGGCAAAGAGGGGGGAAAAAAATACCACAGACGAAAAGAGATGTATCAGACCCCCGTAGTGAATGAGACTGCCTACTTATCAGCCGTGAGCGTGATGTGCAAACAGAGGCCTTTCAGGGCTGCCAGGCACACAATAGCTTTGTTTGCTATGCAATAGAAACCAGTTGTTCGCTGCTGAGTCAATATTTACTGCCTAATGGAATGTGTGCTCTGCTACTACCCCTGCTCAACAACACCAGATTGGAAGAGGGACTTATTACCTCCCCTCTCTGTCTTTCACCTCCTGTCATCCTCTGTCCCTCTTCGTCCTTCCCTCCCTCCCCTTTATCTTACCCTCCCTATAGTCTCATCCTTTTGCTTCTTTCCCTTTGCCTGACTCCCCCCTTTGCCCTCTCAGAATTTTGCTACTCCCTGTTCCAGCTCATCCTTCCCTCCCCTTTTCTGTAGATCCTATATCATATCTCTTGCACCTACACCTCCCCTCGTGCTGCAAAATAACAAGAGCAGTGGAAAGTCCATATAAGGCTTGGAGCTGATTGAGAAATCGGGGCTAGAAAAAAAGGCAAATATGAGATTTTGTGTTCAGTTTTCATGTAAGTTGGACAAAGGAAAACCAGAATCCTCAGTATTTTTATTGCAGTAGTGAAAGAGGAATAGAGGAGTGGGTGAAAAAAAAAAGAACTGGAGCGGACAATCTTCTGTTTATGGAGGCCAATATCCTACCAAGGCCGTACAGAGACAGAGAGAGATAGCTCAGCGATGAGATCACTGTGCTGACAGAATGATCTCTTTGTGCCCGAGCCCGATGGTAGGCAGTGAATGCATTACATGTGGTATTTACACCGCGGCTGCTGATCAACTGCGGCTAATTTTTCTTAAAGGTGCATGCAGGCGATCATGCACAGAAAACACCAACGTGCTTCCCCTGGTTGACTGGGCTAGACAGTATTCCTGCTCACACGGCTACTGATTGTGCACCTGAATCACACCTCGCGCACAAACACACACCTTTACCCAGGTGTGGAGGGATAACTGGAGGCATGACACAGTTGTCAGAGTCCTTTTTAAAGCTTTTTTTTTTTTTCCACCAGCCAACCCCGACAATCCATTCCATTCAGTCATGCTTCGGTATCGTTTCCTTACAGCCCAGAGGATTACTGAGGAGAGGACAGTTGTGGGAGTGATGGTGCCGGTGGTGTGTGTTGGGAGGGAGGGGGTGGTAGTGGTGGTGGGGGGGGTTTCCATAGTGACACCAAGGCAATGAAAAGATTGGACCAGTGGAGTGTGCAGTGGGTGTGCGTGTGTGTGTGTGTGTGTGCGTGTGCGTGCATGGGTTTGGAGTTCAGCTCTATAGCTCTAGGTTGAGACACAGTGGAACCATTCATGATCTACTATCTGGCCCCCAATGGCCTTCGCTCTTAAATCAGAGCCAGCTTGCAGACCTCAGATCCCTGCAGGGTTTTCTTTTTGCACCCAAATCCAAGGCACAACTTGGTTAAAAAAAAAAAAACTATTCTAATAGATGTTTTCTGTCATCTTTCCTTCCCACTCATTATAGACTTTTCAATTGTGTCCAACAACTTTCCCAAAGTGACGAGGTCATATCTAATATCCCTGTCATAAAAATTGATGGCTTTGAGTTGTGTTTGTTAATGCTTTCATGCTGGCCGAGGGATAAACAATTAGGATGAGACATATTCATTGTCTCTAATTATCCTTTCTGAGCGCAGATTAAATATTTTCATAAGTTTGGCTCCTAACGAGCCAAATCCCCACCATATATGGGCATTACATCTGTCCACATTCCGAAATAAAATCACTTAACTGCTGTTGTTGCAATGCACTGTGAGCTGGATCCATCAATATTATTTAACCAGGGTAGTTAGTGCCTCATCTAATCGCCTTTTACAGCCATTTTCCAGTGAACTTGACCTCACACCGAGTCCATTGATAGGGCACTGATTGTGGTCCGGTGTGTTCAAAGTACATGTGACAGTAATTCGTCAATGAAATGACTCAAAACGTGTGCAGTTTTTGTAAAAGATCCCCTCTCTCTGCCCTGAGCATACATTACAAGAGGAATCATTTTCAAACGGGCCTTGATTGTGTGGAGCCTATGTTAATGAAATCTGTGGTCTTTCATAGAATTGACAGTTAATAAAGACTATAATGTGGGCACAGATGTCTTGAAAGAAGTGCCACGAATTAGAGCTGAAATTCTAAATCTGGTGTAATACCTTGAAGAGTAATTTAAAGATAAGACAATTTCTCATTTGGCATGTGAAATAATTAATTATCTCTTTGGTAGAAATATCTTAACAAGGCTACTTAGTATGCATATAAAATTCCAAATTGTAAAATCAAATTAGCATTATTAACTTATAGTGCGCTAGATTACGTCTTTTCTCTTTTAAAAAGGTCCCACAGAGTTGAATTGATAATTAAGTAATGAAATGAAAATTTATGATCTAATCAATGGCGGTCCATATTAGCTCAGCAGTAGCCATTCTAAGGTTACAGGCGGCAGTGAGGAGGGGGCTCGAACCCCAGAAAATGACAGAAGCCCCGAAGAATTGAGTTACAATGGCAATTTATTAGCATGGAGTCCTATTGTGATAGAGCTCAAAGGGGCTCAAACAAAGCTCGCCTGAGCCTCGCAGCTTCTTCTGATGGTCAGTTTTCATTACGGTGGTTGTCAATAGATCTGAAACCTACTTAGGCACACTAATGCTTTTAGATAAACACAAACACCTGCATATTTATGGGCATGTTTACCAAGTTCACCATCTTATTTTGGTGTGTTAGCATGCTTGCCAGTTAGCCCGAAACACAAGCTACAGCTGAGGCTAATGGAAATGTCATTAGTTTTGTAGGTAGCTGGTCATTAAGTAATTGGAGAAATTTAAATTTTGATTCAATGGTGGTCCCAGAAGTCAGCAGGATTTATTCTCTGGGAAGCATGAATGTATTTTGGTGGGCCAATACATCTAGGAGATAGTGGCCAGGGGGTTCCCCAAAGTCACTGGGATTTATCCTTTGGGGACAATGAATGCCCGTACAGAATCTTTATCTCCGTTCATCCAATTGTCATGTCAACCGGCTTGTGGTTCTACATGAAAAGTCAGGGGATCAACAAAGTCATTACAATTAGTCTTCCGGGAACCATAAATGTAAAATCTGGTCCAAATCCATCTAGTAGATGTTGAGATATTTCACTGGATAAGTGAAACATTATAGTGGCGCTAGATAAAAAGTCAGGGGAACATTAATTTTTTGGACCAGATTTCTGAGCAGTCCATCCAACTGTTGTCAAGAGATGCCAGTAAAAACGAATAAAAGTCAGCAGGATTCATCCTCTGGACCATAGTGGTGTACCGACAGTAGAGGCTTGGCTAAGAACTATTTGACCTGATAGAGCGAGGCACCCTGCCATCAAAATGAGAGATTTGAAATGTGAACATTATTTAGTAGCATTTGTTTTATTGTAAAACGAAGATGGGTTGCTTCCAGCAGCTTGTTTCAGTCCTAGTGGTTTTGTCGATATATTTTAATATTTGGCCTGATGCAAGGAGACACAATAAAATAAAAAAGGAGTGCTTCAGCTCCACTGCCTCATAGCGGGTTAAATGGAGCGCAGGGCAATGAGCAATTCTCCAACAATCCCTCTCCTCAGTGCTGCAGGTTGTTCTTCCCCCTCTAAACCCATCGCTTCCTGGTGTTCCGGCTTAAAGCTTTACCCTGTGGGGTCCCAACAGGCTGGAATAAAACACAAGTGGATGCGGCAAGTTGCCATGGAAACTTAATAAGCCAGCAGTTGTAGTGAGAGAGGGAGTCAACTACAGTAGCCAGTGAAGCGTGCATCTGAAGGCAATAAATTGAATGCTGTGGAGGGGAAGAAGACAGAGAGAAAAAAGAGGCAAGGGGGACTGTGTGTTATTGTGAAATAACCTTTTAAGTCGAAATTAAATATTTTGTCAGGAGTGTGTGGCTCTGAGCTCCCCCCCCGACGAGTCTGGCGGGGGCTAGAGGTTAAACGGCTGTCTGCATTGTCACAAGGATGCTCTCAGCCGACCGGGCCGCCTTCTGCTGCGTGTCACAAATGGTGACCAAGGGACTGGCTGATTTTTTTTTTTTTTTTTTAACACTTTTTTTTCCTCCAACCTCACCTACAACTGTCATTGCTTTGACTGTCGGGCCATTACGCGCACTTGTCTCCAGGGCGCGATTGATGCACTGTTGGCTGTCAAAGCTCAAAAGCCTCCAACACGCCACCTGATTGCCAAGCATCCTTTTTGCCGCATAAATCTTTCATTAACCGCCAATCTATCATTAATTATCGGCTCCTGGCATTTACGCAGGGGTGGGGAGATTGATGGCGGGGGGGTTGGGCTGGGGGGGTGGGGGATGCGTTTCGGAGCTGGTGTTGACTGTTTAGGGAGCCAATCTATAATGACTCACAACAAGGAGGATCCCTCTTAACTTTTATTTATAAGGGGCGCCCTGCTCGCCACTCGCCAGAGGTGTTGTTCATCTGTCTAGCTAACCCGATAACATTCGTCCTCATGGCGGCTGGAAAACAGCTTTATCTTCATTCTCCGTGTCTCTCAGGGTCCGTCTCCATATGTTTTTGGACAGCTCGATGATCATCTCTCTTTAACTCCACAGGCTCCTCGTTTTTTTCTCAGCCCCCTTTTAAAAGAAACAAATTAATTCCC